AAAGTTGGCCCTTCTGAAGTTTAGGGTTCTAGTCCTTCCAGTACACTTCCCTTTTCTGTGTTCAATATTAAAAGTAATCACATTGTGATCACTATTACCCAATGACTCCCCAATTACAATATCCTCGATCAGCTCGGCATTATTAGTGACAATTAGATCTAATATGGCATTTTTTCTGGTAGGAGTCTCCACCATCTGGTCCATGAAATTGTCGCGCAACATGTTTAGAAATCGCCCCGCCTTTGCCGAACCCGAAGTTCCATTGGCCCAATTTATGTCTGGGTAATTGAAGTCACCCATCACGACTACATTGCCCTCTCTCCCAGCTATTCCTATCTGTGAGTGAAGATTGACTTCTCCCTCTTCCCCTATATTTGGAGGTTTATAGCAAATACCCACGAGAAGTTTACGGCTAGCGTCCGTCATATCTAGCTCCAGCCATAGAGTTTCCACGTCTTCCCCATTATTTGACGTGATATCGTCCCTTATATGCACATATAGATTATTTTTTACGTAAATGCAAACACCCCCCCCTCTTCTCCCACCTCTGTCCCTCCTAAACAGGTTATACCCCTCTATATTAGTAGCCCAGTCATGCGTGCTGTCCAGCCAGGTTTCCGCTATACCCACTATGTCGAAGTCCTCTTCAATTAACCTAATTTCAAGCTCCTCTATTTTATTTGCCAGACTTCTAGCGTTGGTGTACATACATTTCATTCCTCTCTTTTTGTGGGACAAAAGTTTACTACCTTGTTGTTCCCCACAGCGGCAAGACTGAAACCTTCATCATGGCTTTGTGGGAGGGGCACAGAGTGCTGCAGGGAATCCCACTGGTGGGAGGGGCAAAGATGGCGCTGCAGGGAATCCCACTCGTGGGAGGGGCACACAGCGCTGCAGAGAATCCCTCTTGTGGGAGGGGCACACAGCGCTGCAGAGAATCCCTCTTGTGGGAGGGGCACAGACAGCGCTGCAGGGAATTCCTCTTGTGGGAGGGGCACAGACAGCGCTGCAGGGAATCCCTCTTGTGGGAGGGGCACAGACAGCGCTGCAGAGAATCCCTCTTGTGGGAGGGGCACAGACAGCGCTGCTGGGAATCCCTCTTGTGGGAGGGGCACAGACAGTGCTGCATGGAATCCATCTGGTGGGAGGGGCACAGACAGAGAATCCTTCTGGTGGGAGGGGCACAGACAGTGCTGCAGAGAATCCCACTGGTGGGAGGGGCACAGACAGAGAATCCCTCTGCTGGGAGGGGCACAGACAGCGCTGTAGGAATAGCTCACCATTGTGTGCTTGGGGGCAGGTAATGGAATCAGAGCCTTGAGTGCTATTGGCTGCCATAAGATGTTAGATAACAGGGTTTTGTGGAACATATGTTCTGTGAAGGAGGAGCTCTCCTTTAAGGAAGAACTCCAGGCAGAATAAAACCTATGCAGTGGGGCTCCCCCGGCATTGGAAGGGTTAGGTGCATGTTTCTGTCTAGTGTGTAAAATGAAGATACCTGAACCCTGCAGCCAGCTGGCTGTTAGACCGGTCCCTGCAGCCTTGCCCCCCCTCCTCGCTGTCGGTCTAAGGATCATGTCTAATACAGTCTATTGCATGTGAAGATTGCTGGAGCACAGGGGGAGAGAGGCTGCAGGCCCTGGTCTAGCAGCCAGATGGGACTGAGGATCAAGTGGCTATATCTTAATTTAACACTCTAGGCCAAAATGAGCACTTAACCCTTGCAGGGCAGAAATAGCCCCACGCCAAGGGTCAGAGTTCACCAAGATTTTACCAGGTCCTGACCTCTGCAGAGGAAGGACCATCCTCCATGCACCTTGGCCCCCACAGTACCTCCTCCTTGCAGCCTGCTAACCAACATTCTCCATGCCACCTCCTCATACTTCCCCCATGCAGCCTGTAATCCTGTTTTAGTCAGTATCACCATCCCCCACCCAAGTGCCTCCTCCATGCAGATACCCCCATCCCGGATTGTGGCTCAGCAGGTGCTGGCTCTGCCCCCCACCTATAGACATGTGATATCTAATATTTGGGGTCCATTTATTGAATGTAGCTGTTCTATAAGGTGACCCCGGAGTTCTGGTGATATGGGGCCCGGGGGAGGGTTTAATATCCCCCAATTTGTGCCTCTGCTTCCAATCAGCACACAGGAGAGGGAAGGGTTAAGCCTAATGGATATTGGAGAGTGGGCGTGGTCTTGCCGACGGTCTCATGATTGTCTTCTTGACGTCATCAGACTGCGACCTACCCGGAAGTGCTGCTGCTAGGAGACGCCATGCATCAAGCCTCTATCCCCAAACCCGGGAGCCTGATCATTGCCGACTGGCAGCAGAGCGCGGAGGGGAAAGATTATCTAAACTGCATCCTACGGAAGAGGAAGCGACGGCTGTTCGGTGAGTCACGTGTCTGTCCGCCAGAGCGGCGGAAATACCGAACCTGCCGCATCCACAGCGCCACCTGTCAACCGCTTCTCTGTCGTTAAACATCTGTGTTCACACAGCGCCACCTGCCGACTGCTGTACTGTCATTACACCCCTGTGTTTACACAGCATCACCTAGTGGCCACGCCGCTGTTATTACACCCCTGTTTATAGGTACCCAGCGCCTTCTGGTGGCTCCATTTGCTGTCATAGGTTTTTGTTATTTGTGTATGTACACATCGCCCTCTGGTGGCCGCTCCGCTGTCATTACACCTCTGTATGCCACAGCGCCCTCTGGTGGCCGCTCCGCTGTCATTACACCTCTCTGTATGCACACGGCGCCCTCTTGTAGCCGCTCCGTTGTCATTACACCTCTCTGTATGCACACGGCGCCCTCTGGTGGCAGCTCTGCTGTCATTACACCTCTCTGACATGTGATATCTAATATTTGGGGTCCATTTATTGAATGTAGCTGTTCTATAAGGTGACCCCGGAGTTCTGGTGATATGGGGCCCGGGGGAGGGTTTAATATCCCCCAATTTGTGCCTCTGCTTCCAATCAGCACACAGGAGAGGGAAGGGTTAAGCCTAATGGATATTGGAGAGTGGGCGTGGTCTTGCCGACGGTCTCATGATTGTCTTCTTGACGTCATCAGACTGCGACCTACCCGGAAGTGCTGCTGCTAGGAGACGCCATGCATCAAGCCTCTATCCCCAAACCCGGGAGCCTGATCATTGCCGACTGGCAGCAGAGCGCGGAGGGGAAAGATTATCTAAACTGCATCCTACGGAAGAGGAAGCGACGGCTGTTCGGTGAGTCACGTGTCTGTCCGCCAGAGCGGCGGAAATACCGAACCTGCCGCATCCACAGCGCCACCTGTCAACCGCTTCTCTGTCGTTAAACATCTGTGTTCACACAGCGCCACCTGCCGACTGCTGTACTGTCATTACACCCCTGTGTTTACACAGCATCACCTAGTGGCCACGCCGCTGTTATTACACCCCTGTTTATAGGTACCCAGCGCCTTCTGGTGGCTCCATTTGCTGTCATAGGTTTTTGTTATTTGTGTATGTACACATCGCCCTCTGGTGGCCGCTCCGCTGTCATTACACCTCTGTATGCCACAGCGCCCTCTGGTGGCCGCTCCGCTGTCATTACACCTCTCTGTATGCACACGGCGCCCTCTTGTAGCCGCTCCGTTGTCATTACACCTCTCTGTATGCACACGGCGCCCTCTGGTGGCAGCTCTGCTGTCATTACACCTCTCTGTATGTACACATCGCCCTCTGGTGGCCGCTCCGCTGTCATTACACCTCTCTGTATGTACACATCGCCCTCTGGTGGCCGCTCCGCTGTCATTACACCTCTCTGTATGTACACATCGCCCTCTGGTGGCCGCTCCGCTGTCATTACACCTCTGTATGCCACAGCGCCCTCTGGAGGCCGCTCCGCTGTCATTACACCTCTCTGTAGGTACACAGCGCCCTCTGGAGGCCGCTACGCTGTCATTACACCTCTCTGTATGCACACAGCGCCCCCTGGTGGCTCTATTCGCTTTCATTACGTTTTATAATTTCTGTGTGCACAGCGCCATCTGTTGGCCGCTCTACTGTCATTACACCTCGCTAAATGCCGACACCGCCATCTGCTGGTCATTTGCTGTAATCGCAGCTTGTTATATTCCTGGCTGTCACGTGCTGCCCTCTGCCGGTCATATGATATCATGACCTCTCCTTTCACTTGTCACCCGCTGCTGAGCTCTGTACCTGCGCTCTTGATATCTGTATGACGTCAGAATGATGCGTGTATGACGTCACTGATGAGATTCTCTCCCCCCCAGGTCTCATAGAGCAGCCCGTGTTGCCTCCGCAGCTCCCCTCCGACATCGCCAGCTACAAAATTTTCGTCTGCGGGAAAAGCGGAGTCGGGAAGACGGCCCTGATCGCCAAACTGTGCGGATTGGAGGTTCCCAGCATGCACCACGAGACAACGGGTGAGATGTAACCGGAACCGCCATGTTGTGTAAAATGTCATTTATAGGATGTTGTACTCCCCTCCGGACACGTTTTCCTGGAAGTATCCGATCGCTGCAAAACCCGACCCCTCCCCCGTTCCCTTTTCTTCGGCCCAGTCAATGTCCTCGCTCCGGAACTTCAATGGCATTGTCGCAGCGTCCTTTGTACGGCGCCACAGATGATGTTGGTGCCATATCAGGTGTGATTTCGGTATCTGTCCCGGGATCTCCGATGGATCGGTCTCGGCGCCGCCGGCTCCAGCAATTCTGCCGATCCAGTGATTATTTCATGTGTAGAATGTTCCGTCTCTCGTG